CCCAGCACTTTATTCTGCTTCCCAACAACAAGTCTTTGATTACTCTTCCAGAACCTGTTCTAGAAACCAACCTTTTCTTGTACTCCAATTAACGGATCTGTAATTGCCTGTAATTTCCTCCTTCCTCTGACACAACCTGTCAGTGTTATCTTGGCTGATTTCTTCTCGTGGAATATCTGTTATTCCCTGGACTTTGGACTGGCATTTCCCATGGTGGAGGGGTTTAAAATCCCTGGGGATGTGGAATTTGGGGGCAGTGCTGGGGGAATGGTTGGACTCTGTGATCTTAGAGGATTTCTCCAGCCTGAAGGATTCTCTGATTCCACGAGGAGAACCCCGAGAGAACCCCACAAAATCCTTCTGCAGATGCAGCCAGGAGTGAGCCCAATTCCAGGCACTCCAAAAAAACACAACACAACCCTTTCCATGGTCCCTGCCTCCACAYAAACCCTACAAAAGCTGCTGTTTGTTGTCCAAACACAGACTGTAGGAAAAAAAAACACCACCAAAATCATATTGACAGTCAAATCTCTCAAAAAATCATTCTTTTTTGAGCTGCCCTGACTATTTTCAGCCTTCACCTCCATCCTCCCTTTTAGGATCCAAGGTGCCATGGAGGATCTGGTTTTCTGGAATCCACAAAATTCCAGCACAGCAATGGGAAAAGAAATCCCTGGAGAGAAACAGAGGATGCTGAGGCACCTTGTTACTAAAAACCCTAAGCTGGCCATATGGAGAGGGTTATGGGCACACCAGAGGGGTGAAAAACACGTCTGAAGTGTGCTTAACACCGATATTGCAATAATCCCTTTGTCCAGATTTAATGTTTTCCATCCCAGGGCTTTTGCTAAGAGCGAGGTAAGCACCAAAACACCCCCAGATGGCAGATAAAAATTACAGAAATGGGAGGGGGAAAGCAGACACGTCTTGGGGGGACATGGCAAAGACCCTGCAAGAGTTGAGGGTGAGAAAAAAGCAAAACTCCATCACCCTCCAGGAGCAGAGGAGCAGTTGAAGGCTCACAGAAGTCACCCACTGAAGGAAACCAGAAGAGGAATTCCCTTCCCTAATGAGAAGTCTYGTGGGGTTTTTGCTGACCAAAAAAAAAAAGGTCAGGAACCTAATTTTGAGATGTGTAAGARTGAAGGCACATCCAGCCACTTTGCAAAGCCCCAGAGGTTGATTTTGAYAGACCTTTGCCTTGGAAATGGGAATTTGCTTTAAAAAAGACATTAACAGACTAATTTTCTGTTTCAGACTAAGCTTAGTTGATCGCCCCACAATTATTTTGTAATCTACATTAATAATGCTGCAGATGTGCTACTCCTGGCCTTAAACACACGACAGCTCAGCTGAGGCACCAGATGTCTTCCCTGTGAGAGCCCTYGCACGGCGTCTTTGGTGGACAAAGCCCAATTTTCAAGGCGGGATTATCAGGTTTTTTTTTTTTTTTTCCAGAACTGAAACCCACATCACGAAAAAAAAAATCAGCAGAAAATTGATCATAAATATAATCTACAAGGTATCTTAGCTTGTTTGAAGCGATCCAAGGGGATTAGACAGATCAGGCTGGCTCAAAACACAGTAGTTACAGCACCAGACTGGGATTCGGGAGACCTGGGCTTGATTTCTAAATCTGCTGCTAATTTTGGGTGACAGCAGCGGAAAAATAAATTTCATTTTCTGTTCCCTTTTCTCCCCCCGCCCCCCCTCAGTGAAAACCGAGGTGCTCTGCTTTATGAAGCCCTGCGAGATCCCTGGCTGTTAAGGGTTATGTCAGAGCTCAGGGCATTTGTGTTGTTATTAAATCTCACAGTCATGCAACAGCTTCCCCAGGGAAGTGATGAAAGACCTGTCGCTGGAAAGGTTTAAATCCAGCCTGGATCAGGCGGAAGGAGACACCACCGGGAATTGGCAGGCATTAACGGAGRGGGATAAGGGAGTCGGGATCTAACAGGTTTTTTTCTTCCATCTCTGCTCTTTCCGATCAGCTTAATAAAATGGATCTGTCCAGCCCCCCTCGGGCAYGGACTGCAGCACACAACAAAGAGGGAATTACGGCCCGAACGGGGAGGGTGAGCCCCGAAATACGCACCCAAATTCGCACTCCCGGAGCAGATCCAAGCGGCACAGGCACCCAGCCCCTCTCCCCGGGGCTCACACGGGGTGCTCGCCCCCCGTTCCATTCCTTTCCTTTCCATTCCTTTCCGTTCCTCAGAACCGCTCCCGGGGATCCCGCCCCGCCTGCCCCCGGCCCTTTTTCTGAACCCCCCCCCCAAATCTGCCTCCCGCCACCCCTTCGGCCGAGCCTCCTCCCAAAACCCAAAAGTTCCCGGAGCGTCCCCGTTTTGGGGGGCTGGCGGTGACCCCCCATCCTCGGGGCGGCTCCGGACGGGCGCTGCCGCTCCCCGGAGCTCTCCCTTTGCCTTCCTCCCTCCTCTCCATCCCTTTCCACCGGGATCTGGCTCCCCCCGAGCTCTCCCACCCCCGCGCTCGGCAATCCCCGCGATGGAACCAAATCCGCCCGCATTTTGGGGACCATCATTGTCTCGCAGCCCCTTGTTCTCCGCGATCSCAGGCTCACCGCGGGTGAAAGGGATGGGAGCAGGATGTTCCGCAGGGCTGGGCGGGTCGGTGCCCGGTACCGGGGGTGGTTCTGGTGCCCGTGTCCCGCCGCAGAGGCCGCGGCCGTGGAGCGGGAGCCGCTTCCTGCGCGCTCGCAGCGCCGGCTCCGAGCGCTTTTATCGCGGGGCCGCGGCAGCGATTGGCTCTCGGCGTCGAACCGGCTTCCAGCCGCTCGATCCTTTGTGTGGAGCCAACCTCTAACCCCAAACCTTCCCCGCTCTCCTCTTTTCCCCGCTCTCCTCTCTTCCCAGCTCCCTCTCCCGCAGCCTCCCCGATGCGACACCGCCGGACCCCGGGAGCGGCTCTTCCGCTTTCTGGCAGAGAATGCAATTAGCCCCCGGCGTAATTAGCTTTTCCAGCCTCTCCCCCATGAGCTGATTGGGTTCGCTCCAGGCTTTGGACACGGCCTTGGGCTGTGCTCTCGTGGCATTCACCCACGCTGATAAAGGTATCCATCCCTGCAGGCTCTGCAAAAGCCACATTTCCCACAAACGCGCCTCAACTCACTGTTTGCAGAGGATCTTATCAGGCAGCAACAGGAAAGGAGGAATTTCTGTGCTCCTCACTCCCCAGAGGGGCAAAACTGAGCTGTGATGGTTTCAGAAATCCAGGGTTTGTTCCGTGGAGAATAAAGTGTGGGAGCAGGGCTGTGGATCTGCCAGGGCAGGGTCTGGTGGGCCGAGCAAAAGCAAAACCACACTTCCTCTGGTGTTTGGAGGGCTGGGGYTTCCCCAGGAACTGAGCAAAACATCATAAATAAATGTAAATATTAATAGTTAAAGCCTGGAGGTGGTTTCACACCAGCCAAGGATGACAGAATGGCYGTGAGCCAGGAGAGAGGCAGCAGGGACCTGTAGCTCTGAGGAATTTACCTTACACTCCCAAAACACTCCAATGGGGGGATAAGTGGAGGAAAATACAAAGGAGCGATGGGACGAGCTTTGAAAATAACGATGTAAGAACAAATATTCTTGTTTGGCTCCTGAACACCGCGTGGTGCCATTGGAAAGAGCCAAACACCAGCTGGAGGTGGCCCAAAGCCTGAGCCCTGCGGCACAGACAGGTGCTCCGTGTGCAGTTTGGGTGTAATTCCCCATACAAAAAAAACACGATTAAAGAATTTATGGGATTGTTTACCAGACAAGGGGACAGCAGTGATGTGATTTACCACCTCAGTCACTCTGCGATGCCCAAACAGCATCTGAGTGCTAAAGAGTCTCGCTGCCACCGAGCGCAAATAAACGAGGAGTGCAAATAAATGAGGAGTGCAAACAAAAAGAGGAATTGCCCTTGAGATGCAGAACCAGCCGTGGGATGGTCACACCCAGAGGGCTGCAAAGTTGAGGTCACCAGGACATGGGGAGGGAAGAGCASCCAAGGGAGCTCCTCGCTGTCCAAAACAAGGACAGGTGAGTGAGGAGCCAACAAGCACAGTGCCCGCAAAAATCACTGCGTATCGTTATCTTAACAGAAGGGGGAAATCATAAAAATCTTAGAAATGCTGAGTTCAGGAAGGTCTGTGTGTTTGGAAAGGGCTCTCCATCCTTCCAGCTGCTCCCAATCCTGTTTCACGGAATCAGCTTGTTTGTTAGCTCGTTAATTATCCCATTTGTCGGACTTTTAGCGATGCGAGTGTTAATCACCACCACGGATCRTGGTGAGCTCATGGGAGAGCAGATTTTGATGGTGGAGCCTCACAGTCTCTTGTGCCTGGGCTCACACCTGCACACGTGCACATACATGAACACACATGTACACACATGTATAGCCATATAGATGCATGTATACATGCATGTATGTGTATACACACATACATGTCGACACGCATGTACACGTATGTGCACAGAGGTGCACACATGTACACCCTTTTATGCATTCATGTACACGCATGTGCACAAATGTCCATATGCACACTATGCACACACGTGCACACACGCATGCACACACCTGTACACACATGTAACACATATATAGACACAGAGACACGAACAAACACACACACGTGTGCCCACACTCACGCCTAGGCAGGGCAGGGGGCCATGGCGGGGTTCCCGGGGTCCCCCCTGTCCCCACCGGGGACCCAGCGGCGTCCCCGCTGCCATGGAAACCCRCCGGGCCTGCGGGACACGGAGGGGAAACGGGGAAACCGCCCCTTCGCCGTGCTCAGGAGGCACGGGAAGCATTAGGGGGGCCGGAGAGCGCAGGGACGGAGCGGGATCGAGGATGGAGGGTCGGGAATCGGGGTCGGGAATGGGGAACAGACCCGGGGGGGACCCGCGGGACCCCCGGCCCAGCCCGGSGCGCTGAGTCCTCCGAGCCCGCAGGGGGCGCTCGCTGCCCGCGCCGGCCGCTCCATTCGCCGCTCCATCCGCCGCAGCGGTATCGGCGGCACATGATGGCGGAGGAGAGCAGCGTCTGCAGCTTTGTGTTCAAGAAGCGGGTCCGAGCCGCGGGCAGGGGACGGCGAAAACGGCCCGGCAGCGACCAGGAGCGGGGTGAGAGCTGAGGGGAGGCGCGGGGAGCCGAGCTGGGGCGGTGCGGTGCAGTGAGGAGGCCACGGAGGGCCTGGTGCCGCCGCCAGCGCTGCCCTCAGCCCGTGTCTGTGTGGCGGAGGGAGGAACGACCCCTGAGGTTGTGTCAGRGGAGATTTMRGTTGGATTTTAGAAGGTTCTTCCCCCCCCTCGCGGGTAGTCGGACACTGAACAGGCTCGGCAGGGAATGGTCACAGCCCCAAGGCTGGCAGAGCTGCAGGAGGGTTTGGRCAGCGCGCTCAGGGATGCACAGAGTGGCATTGTCGCCTCTCCCATGGGTGTCCCCATCCCCGCGATGGCAGGGGCTGCCTCAGGGCTGTGTCGTGCCCCTCATGCCGGGCTTTCCCCGCAGAGAGCAGCGAGGAGGAGGGCAGCACTGTGGTGCGGAAGGAGCGGCGGCGGGATGCTCCCAACCCCATGATTCAGAAGGTAAGGGAGCACCTGCGCCATCCCGGTGTGCCTGCGGCGGCCTGCCGGGCTCAGCCAGGACACTGCTGGAGCCTTTGTSCCCCATCCCTGCTTGCTGTCCCCTGTCAGACCCGGCGCTGCACCAGGGAGAAACCGGAGTACGCGCCGAGCAGCAGYGAGGATGAGGATCCTGCCAAGGAGATCGGAGTCACCTACAAATCGACCAGGTCGGCGGTAAGRACGGGCAGCAGCGGGGCCTGGGGTGTCAGCTCGAGCAGGGCTGGGGATCCCACTCCTCACAGACAGAATTTGCCACTCTAAACATGGGATTAGACATTATTAGTGCATCTCCCTGTGCCCTCTTTACTCACATCCTTCTGCACACCTTGTGCTGGGTTTATTCTGATAGTCACTCCCGCCACGGGAGGCCATCAAAGGTTGACCTTTCCCTATTWGAGGGGGGAGTTAAAGCTTCACGATGCCACTGGACTTGCCCAACACTGCACAGATTTTTCAGGAGAGGGAGCACTTGGGTTAGATATGTCTAACTGTGAGGTTTGTGTTTTTATTGTTATACCATCTTTGGCTGCTCCCAAGGGAGGCAGTGTTTTGTTTGCCCAAAACAAACACTGGAGAGAATGGGAAGGGATGGGAGGAGGTGACAGCTTTGGGATTCCACAAGTTTTTGGCACCGAAGTTGGATTTGTGTTTAATTGAGTCTGGCTGTAATTATTCTTTGGTTTCTGTGCAGCTGTTCTGGAAGATGTGATAAAAGCTAGGAATAGGTATCTTCAGTCCATTAAAGAGGAATCTGAACCAGATCACTGTGCTGAAACAGAATTTTGGCCACCCCCAGCTGGGTCAGAAGTTCAGTMACATCCTGTGTGTGGGCAGGAGGGTCCTGTGATTGAAGTGTTGGACATGAGGGGGGTTTCCAGCTGAGCTGAGTGTCAAGCAGTAAAATAGATATTCCGTGACTCTGCAGGCTGAAATTTGGGAGCAGTGGGGAATTAGCACTCTCATCTCTGCACACACTAGGCTGGATCCAGCCCATGGTGAATTCTCTCTAGCAAATGCCAAAGGATGAAGCAGGTTTATCCAGTTCTTGCTCTGTGACAACCCCTCAGGTAGCCAGGGAGCTCTGTCTTGTAGAGGTGTTCTCTCCACTTTTGGCACAAGCTTTCCTTGCTTTTCAGAAACCTGTTGGCCCAGAAGACATGGGAGCCACAGCAGTGTATGAACTGGACACGGAGAAGGAGAAAGATGCCCAGGCCATCTTTGAGCGCAGCCAGAAAATCCAGGAGGTGAGTCAGCCTTGCTCCTTAGGAACTTGTGCTTTGCAGCAAGAGAGCCTGGGCTTTACTCACATCCTTCTGCACACCAAAAAGAGTCAAGAGTCTTCTTCCCTGGAAGTTTGAGAAGCCAAGAGTGTAACCCTTGCAAATAGGGGAATTCTGTGGCTTTATGGACACTGTGGTGTTAAGGAAGGCAGGGTGGAAAGACTGGTGTCAGAGTGGTGACAAATGTCATGAAGCTCTCCTGATCCTTAATCATCTCTTCTCAYTTTCCAAGGAACTGAGAGGAAAGGAAGATGATAAAATTTACCGTGGCATTAACAACTACCAGAAGTACGTGAAGCCCAAGGACACATCGATGGGCAATGCCTCTTCAGGAATGGTCAGGTGGGTTGGGATGAGCCTCGGGGGACTGGGACCACAGAGGAACTTGGGCACCATCCCAAAGTGTCTGGTTCTGGCCAGGGCCCTGCTCCAGGGCTGAGTCCTCTGCCCCCCTTTCAGGAAAGGCCCCATCCGTGCTCCGGAGCACCTGCGGGCCACGGTGCGCTGGGACTACCAGCCTGACATCTGCAAGGACTACAAAGAGACGGGCTTCTGTGGCTTCGGGGGTGAGTGCATCCTGTGTGCAGCTCAACACCAGTGTGCAAAGGGATCCAGTCCAGCTGTGACCCCGTGTTTGTGGTGCCGAGGCTGAGTCAGAGACACTTCTGTACAGAGCTGGTTATGTAACATTCCTGTTATTCTCACCAGCCCATCTGAAAGCCCAGGACCTCTAATTAGTGCTTATAGGAGTCCTGGGAGGGACCCCTGGGTTCAGTGACCCACATTCTTACAGGTATTGAGTCCACTGAGACTCTCACCAGAGTTTTCCTGTTTCTTATCCCACTTCCCATGTGCATAACTGCTGGAACTGCCCCTGTGGCACAGAGAGGATGATCCTCACAACCTGGCAGCACTGAGGGATCCTCTACTTGCTCCAGGAGCTTGGTGCTGCCCTGGAGGAGCAATCAGATTTCTCCTGCTGGGCAAAGCTCAGGCTGCCCTGGAATGAGGTATCCTGTAACACTCTGCCCTTGCAGCCTGGCTCTTATTTCCTTTTTCTTTGTGCTGCTCAGACAGCTGCAAATTCCTGCACGACCGCTCGGACTACAAACATGGCTGGCAGATCGAACGGGAGCTGGATGAAGGTCGCTATGGCGTCAACGGTACGGCCCCTCTCTGCTTTCACAGGACTCTGCTCCAAAGCTGTGCAACTCCTGCTGCAGGATGAGCTCAGGGACAGTAACGACTGACAGTGCTGAGCAGAACTGCTGCTTTCACACAACCCTGAGTCCCTCAGGGAGGGTGGTTTYCCCTGGCTCTCTGTGAAGGAGAGCACTGCTGTTGGTGGGTCGAAGCTGTGAGCTGTGTGGAGCTGGGGACATGGGACCATCTGTCCCCTGGACACCCAGGAGGTGGGATGGCATTTGTCACTCAGTGTCTGTAGCTGTGGCCCAAAGTAAATGKGGGGAAAAGGGTGTTCTCTGGTAAGCTGGAGCCAGAGCTTGGTGGCAGCTGGTTTGGAAGAAAGTCTGAAAAACAGGAGGGGGCTGGAGGATCTTTCTCTTTATAGCAGTGAGTGGGTGGAGTAGAAAAGAATTTTCTCATGAGATGAGCAGCAGACCTGCTGGCTCATTATCCCCAATTATAGCACAGTCCCACTCGTGTTACTGACATCAACAACACCCAGATGCCAGAGCTGCATTGTTTCCAGCAGAGATTGAATCCCACCGACTGTGCTCTCCCCTTACATGTTATTTCATGCCCCACACATGGGCTAGGCTGGCCTCTCCTCATTCCACTCTGGTTCACTTTCTCTTCTKCAGATGATGAAAACTACGAGGTGAGCAGTGATGAGGAGGACATGCCTTTCAAATGCTTCATCTGCAGAGGTTCCTTCAAGAACCCTGTGGTCACCAAGTAAGTGGCAGTTTGGCATGAGGAGCCACATGTGAGCTGAACTGACAGTACACAAGTCATTCATTCACTGCTAAGCAAAGAAAAACCCAGCCCAAGGGCTGTGGGTGKAACGTGCTTGTCTGCCATAGCTCTCTGGTGGGTGGGGGAATCTCACAACTGCATCTGGAGCATCCCCTTGGAAGGGATCTCCAGCCCTTATTCAAGCACGTTTTAGATTAGATTTCCACAGATACTGCCTCATTGCCTCATCTTTTCCCCTTAAGATTTTGTTTTCATGTCACCATCCCTGGAGGTGTCCAAGGAACTACTGGACATGGCACTCAATGCTCCAGTCTGGGTGATAGGGTAAAGTCAAAAGTTGGACTCGATCTTGGAGGTCTTTTCTAACCTTGATGTTCCTGTGACCAGCAGTCAGTGGTTTCTGACTCCAGGACACAGTGACTGTGTCTGGTGATTTGCAGTGGCCTCTGCATCTCCATACAGGTGTCGGCACTACTTCTGTGAGAGCTGTGCCCTCCAGCACTACCGCAAATCCCAGCGCTGCTACGTCTGTGACAAGCAAACCAAYGGGGTCTTCAACCCTGCAAAAGGTATGGGCACCTGTGGGACAGGGGGCTGCCAGGGGAGCAGCAAAGGCACCAGCTCCTGATGGATCTTCCTGGTGCTGGGCCTCTCTCTGAGCTGGAGTTCACAGCTCTTAGTGTCACGAAATATTAAAATCATGGATGCAAAATGAGCATCTGTGCTTGCCCGAGGCAGAGGGAAGGGGGATGTGCCACAGGAGCAGAGGCAGCAGCTTGTGTGGTCCATAATGCACTGGGGGAATGATTTTACCAGTTCCTGTCTGGACTCAGCAAACAAGGGTAGCTCCAAGCTGAACCTCTGCAGGCAAATGATTTTTGGTAGCTGCCCTGGTCCTGGATGTTCACAGGGGTGGGACAGCCCCTGCACCCAGAGCCTCATCCTGCCTGTTGCTGTTTTTCAGAGCTCATGGCAAAATTGGAAAAACACAAAGGGGAAGAAGAAGAGGAGCAGCAGTCAGACCATGGAGAGGATCCACAGTAGCAGAGCACTATTTTGTATATAATTGAATAAAGTTTTTGTAGGAGAAAAAAAGTTCACAGCTGTAGCCAGGGGTTGTGTATCCARCCGGCAGCTACTGCAGTTACTGCTGATTTATTCTCTCCTGTTTTGGTTCCTGGAACTCAAGACAGGGACAAAACTTCAGTGGRCAACACACCTCTTGAATCAGCCCCAGTAAGACTTCCTAACAAGGCAGGAAATTAAGATTTTACTAATAGTAAGATTAAATCAGGAGCCAAACCTGATCATAGGGAGGAAGTAGAACTGGGCCTGCCCTTAACAAACACCCCTGCAACTGGGARAATTTTACTGAAATTTTCAGAAAAGAGCAAGCCCAGGTATTTGCAACTTGTTGCTTTAGTTGAAGTATGTTTGTGAAGCATGAAGGCAGCTGCCATAAACTGGTGAGCTGTATGAAAATAAGGAAGTAAAAGCAAGTGTGCACATCCACCCTTTTTCACCCTCTGATTCACTCCACCATCCTGCAGAAACAGCAGACTTAAAAAACAACTTCAGAAATATTTTATTTGTTTTGGAAAAAAACTAGAGTAACAAACTTTATCTGGGCTCAAGTATGGTTTATARACACAAGAAGGACCTGTTGCCAGCACCACTACTCCCATCAACTGCACCTACASAAGGATTCTCAGTGCTTCAGTAAAGAGTAGACGACCTCCAGCACCCATGGTCCTTGGAAAAATCAAACTAAAAGCCTTAAATACATCTCCAAAAAAAACCAAACACCATGGAATGGGGGAGAGCTGCCACACCAGCAGGGCAGAGTCACACAGCCACGAATCACAGGGAGCCACGTGAGCAGCTTTTACCTGTCAATCAGTGAGGGAAGGCAGAACAGCAGTGATAATGGAAAGGTTAAAGTTCAAYTCTTTACAGGAGTCATGAGCAAGAGGATCAGCATGAAAATCAATTTACTTTTCCTCTGTGCCAGGGTAAGTCACTGAGAACAGGCAGCTAAGAGTGTTTCATGCTGTGAAACCAGCCCAGCTAACATGAAGTTCAACTGGAAGGGGATAAAAAAGCTGGTACGTTGTACAGGCATCCACACTGCTCTGGTGACCSAGGAAACTGGAAGGGGAGGCTGGAAGGCCCTGTCTGACCTGGAGCTCAGAGTGCTCAGCATCGAGTGACAAGTTTTCAAAAGCCCTCTCCAGACTGGAACAATCCAGTGCTGTAGAGAAATGTCCAATACAGCAGGAGTGCCTAGAATGGCATCAGGTTGTCTTTGATCTCCCATTTTCCATCAAAGCAGTAACTAAGAATATAATTCACTTTTTCCCCCTGCCATTAAAACTTGCCCTGTGACAACACTGTTACAGGAACCTGACTAATTCTAAGAGAATGCCCAAAACTAAGAACTGCCCACCTCCCCTCGACTCTAAGGCACCCTTAAAAGAGAAAGAACCAAAGAGGGCAGGGACATGCAGCTTCAACTGTGATAGGAGGACGCCAGTGACTTTTAAAAACACATAAATAGAGACCATAACTACATGGACTCAGTCAAGCCCCTCAAGTGCTCTACCAGTGCTCAGCTGCAAGAATGAGGGCTCYGGGCACTGCACCATCTGGAATACTCCACAGCTCCGTAGGTTGATCCTTTTCCAGCTCAGGTCTGTCCAAATGTATCCAGGCTACTTCTTAAGTAAACAAGCAGTTGAAGTTCCTTCCCAAGGACCTGTAAACTCTTCTGTAACATTCATCAGCTTTTATGAACAGGACCAATAAATTACAATGTCCAGAAAGCTTCTCCAGAACTTGGTGTAGTCCCTATATTTCTAGAATTCCCAGTCATCCACATCCAGCTGCTCCAGGTTTGATACCAACCCAAAAATGCCACTGGGATCCTGGGGCAGTGTCCCTTCCAAATTGGTGATGGGGGTGACGGGGCGCAGAAGTTCAGGGAGTGCTTCGGAAGCGCGGCGCTTGATCTGCACAGGAAGGACAGAATGAGGAAATGGGGCTGCTCAGGTGCTGCTCCACACCCAGCATTGCAGTCAGAAACAACAGGCAGAAAATACACACATCACCCTTTGGTGTCGTTAAGGAGCAGGTTAGAATTGCCTCGCCCCAGAACTCAGCAGCCTGCAGAGTTGAAGAGCTGTTGTAGCTCCCAGGACAGGCAGATTTAAAACCTCTCTTAACTAAGAGATGCTTCAAGAACAGCTCAAGCACCTCCCCAGAGGATGCGACGATCACACTGCACTCCAATTAGTCAAAAAACTCAATCCTTCAGATCACARAAAATTCAGCAACTCAACATCCCCACCCTCACAGCAAGACAACTACAGCAAAGCCACCAGCCTTTACCTGTAGGTAAATTAGTTCCTTACCTGCTTAAAAAAGGGGTGGCCGAGCAAAGTGCCTGCGCTTGGCCTGTGGAAGAGAGGTACAATGAGGGAAGCACACAAGAAAATGCGTCAGTGCTTGAAGTCAGGTAGTGGGAATAAGACAAGACCAGAGTCCTTCCCACCTCTCCCATTTCTCAGCTATTGGTTATCTCCCGTTTTTGAGCAGTACCACCGTTTATTAAGCATTTACTATCCTGCAATATTTTATGCAARTTCAACCTCCTTGTAATGTTTAAGTTACATACTTGCACCCCTCCACATCTGGCCAAGGACAGTTCCTGAAAATTCTGTCATGGCTACAGATTGCCCTCACTACAAAGAATAATGCAGCTTTGATCACCTCCCATCATTGCTCTCTGCTGGCTGAAAAGCAGCCATTAGCAGTGAAGGGAACTGGGTATGAATGGTCTCACAAGGGCCAGAAACTCTAATTGATGTTTATTTTCTTGATGTGCAGCACCACTCATCTCCAAAGGACGGTTGCAAAGGAATTCTTCAGGCTCTCATACAGGAGGTGCTCAAAGTGTTACCACTGCTCATTTTACACACCTGGASTGCTCTCCTCAACAGATGGGGCACATCCTCACTCCACTATACTCTCAGAAAGAAAACTCTACACAATCTCTGCTGAAGATTATGGAACTTATTCCATAGTTTAACCAGCCCTGGAATAGTGCAGGTGGGAAGAGCAGCTTTCACCTGGCTTTACCTGAAATCAGGGTTCCTCTGGAGGCACTGCTCCACGAAGTTATGGAAGTAGGTGGAGAAGGTGCGGAGGTAGGGGTGCAGGGCTGGCTCCCCGTTGGCCGCACGCACGTTGCTCATGGCCGTGCTCTCCCCCATCCCRTAGTTTGCACTGGAACGGGAGGTTTTCATAGTCAGCTCATCAGCAGGAATTGTGGTGGTGTCTAGCAGGCAGGGAACAGTTCCATTGAGCTTTTCCAAGAGCATCTGGAAGAGCAGGAGCACAGGAAACATCACACCAGTAAGCAATATCACACACAGTCGAGGTTTCCCATTCAGGTAGGCAGGACACTGTTCTGTGTTCACATCCCAGTGCAGCACAGCAGCTCCATGTGCCAGGATGAAGGACGAGACAGGAGCTTGCAAACCTTACCTGAGTAGAAGGCATGTCTTTAAATGGGACGTGTCCATTTGCCAGCTCACARGCCGTTATCCCCACACTGTAAATGTCAGATTTTGCATCGTAACCTTGCAGATTCTACAGGAAAAGAAAAATTAGCTTCAGAGACTTGGATGTGAATGATTGGGCAATACCCATGACTCGACTGCAAATCAGCAAACCTAGATGATTAGAGCAGGAACAGTGCAATCCACAGGTAGACTGGTTTATTATAGTGAGGGTTTTTTTGGTTTGTTACAACACACAGTTAAGGGCAACATTTATGTAACTGRAATCAGCCAGCCTGTAGGGATGGCATCTGCCCTGGGTAACTCACATTTACCATAACACTTTGTTAATGAGATAATCTGYATAGGTGCCTACAATTAAACTATTTAGTTGAATAGATCAAATTCCACCCACTTGCCCTATATCCACCCCAAATGTTTCCTTTAGGCCTCTCCCTTCTTTTTTCTTGCATTCATGTACCCTTCYCCTTGCTAGGGGTCACTGGTTTTAAGATAAAAAGAACAGAAAAAAGGGATACAGCTCATTACAAGAAAGGAACTCTGCAGTTCTCTTGTGTCTCCTACCCTACACACCCTGAACTTGCCCCGAAGATCTCAAAAAATTATACAGATACAACACATCACTAAACACAAGCAGTTTCTTTCAAACATACCTGCTGCAAAACCTCAGGACTGAGCCAAGGCAACACTTTGATGCTGTATTTGGGGAAGTCATGAACAACTTTGAGTCGTTGCCCATGGTTGATCATACTCAGGTTACTCCGCAGGCCAGAGAGATACACCTTCCCATCTACAGAGATCAGGATATGGCTGGCTTTAACACTCCTGGGGAAAAAAAGGGTAAAACAGTCAGGTTCTCTGGCCTTTACTAAACAGCTCAATGCATAGGACAATACCTGATCAGCTTCCCACCACGAGGTAGGAWGAGAGACTCCTGAGACTCCTAACAACCATCTTTGAATATCAGGCAAGATCAATTAACAGGATTCTATTCATCCCCTTTCCAAATTCCCAAAGAATGTTTCTGAGGCAAGGAGAAATGCAGGTCTAAATGTTGGGGATTGTGATTTCAGCTACACAGTGYTCTTTGGGATAAGTTTGCTCCACAATGACACTTTCATGCAGCTTAGTAAGATCAGTAATATCACTTCCCACGAGTATAAAACTGATTTGCTCTAACAGCAAAGTAATACAAAACKTAATGTGTTCCGTGTCTCCTGATTCATCCTCTGCTCTACTCTGAGTAGCATTTCCAAGAACTTCCACCAGAAGAAAAACAGTTGGATGTATTTTTAATACCTATGTACATAGCCCATATGGTGGATGTAGTCAAGTGCTTTCAAGACGCCTTGGAGGATATAAGCAATGGCCAATTCAGTCATCCCATCCGTAAAATGGGTACAGATTAAATCTTTTGCAGAACCTAAAAAGAAACAAACCACCACCTGTCAGAACAAAAGCCCCAAGGACACTTCAGCTTTTCAATTTCATTTCACAGAATATGACAATCAGATAAAGGTATCCCCTTCTCCACTTACCATAGGCCATGAAAGAAGTCACTACCCACAGCTCATTGTCAGCTATGAAAGTTGCTTTGTATGGCACAATGTTAGGGTGGTTGAAGAGCTTGGAAACATGAAGCTCCCCCTAAAATAAAAGGTATTTTGATTAAATTTAGTAAATGCAGAAACGTGACTGCAGTATTGATAAGCAGAGCTCTTGCTGTCTATCCTCTTCTAAACTTGCATGATGATTGATGTTACCTGCAAGAACGTGACCATTTCATTTGTGCAGGCCTCCAAGTTCACTCTCCTGACTGTGACATACTCTCCTGTGGGTTTATACCTGGCCAGRTTCACAACCATCAAGTCCTCAAAGCCTCTGCCTGAAAAACAAAGCATTGAAGCTTCAGTAAAACTTTTAGAAGCACTCTGGAGATCTCCTCTGTCCCCTGATCCTTCAATAATCTTTACCCTCCACTCACTGAAACTATTTTTGGCCTTGTAAAAGAGTAATTGTTCCATCCGACACCACTTCCTTTGGCATGTATCCCACTGAGAGGAATCCTCCTAGCCAGTAGAATTATTCTGTCCTTCAGATTCAGGACTGAAGCAGAAATAAAGTGATTAAGAGCACCAAGGACAGGTTTCAGGCTGCTTCTGCTGACTGTACTGCACATTCAGCATCATTACCCCACCACATGCTCCTCCCAGGTACAAACCTTTAAGACTGGCATSTCATTTTTTTATTCAAATGATTTTAAAATTAAATATGACAGGCATCCAATATAAAAAAAATAAGCAATCAATCAAGAAAAGGCCGACAAATCTGCAGAAATTATTTTCTTTACAAAGCAAACTCTGATCTTACAGCTCTCCAGAATTACCTATGATAGTGAGCAACTCATAGCAGCTGCTGTCTGGTAGRAAGTTGCTCATGGTGTCCCTTTTAGGGGAAGAAGCTATCGACTCGGAGCTCGCCTCATTTGTCTGAGGAAAAAAAATGAAGTCAGGTCAAAGGAAATAAAGATCACTTGCACCTCATCAGACACTTCAAAATAATAGGAATACAGGARGGGATTTAACTGCTGTCAAAATAATTTTAAATAGTCATTTATCAATTGAAATTCAGGAGATGCCTCATTTCAGAAGATCCAGACATCTGTGTTACAAAACACGTAACAAGTARGTTGTTAATCACTGTAAGCTAGAATTTATTCAGGAATATTTTGATAAAGCCAATTGTTATCCCCCAGGACAGCCTAAAAACTGCCTTTTTCTTATAATTACAAACTTCTGTGCCACCACCCTGTTGCCTGAGCAAGAGCCAAAAGGAAGCTGTTCACAGGCCTTCTCTGCACTGTGGCAGTTGGTGTTCCTGGTGGATGCTGGGGCTCCTGGTTTTCAGCTGCTCACCTGGGATAAGCCCAGCACAGCTAAAGCTGCTTAGCTGAATGGTACAAGTGATGAAAAAAATCAGATACACGTGAAAAGAGAAGCRCCAAATGAAAGCAAAAACTGCAATGCATTAGTGCTTATTAAAAAAAAAAAGGGAAAGAAAAGCACCCCCACACCACACAGGGAAGCAGCATTCCCAAGCCTGTCAGCTTTCCCTCACTCCATCTGACACAAAGCTTTCTGCCTTATTTGCATCCACAGAAATCTTCCCCAGCAGGATTTTGCAGATGATAAACTTCAATGTTCTTTCAAGTTCTTTTATACCTTCCAACTTCTTCAAATTTTCAAAGTCATAAGGAGAGCATCCTAACGGGGATTAAAATTTATTTGGTGTCTAAAACCTTCTTTAGTTATCTCAAATTTCCAGCACATTAACTCCTCCTGGCATTTGGAATGCCAGCTCAATTTTTCCACCTCATTCTTCATCAACTGCAAATGCCCTTTATCAGACCTTTTCTCATGGTACATGAAGCAGAAAAGGTTTGTGCCTTTCCCTACCATGACAGCAAATTCCCCTTTTCATTTCCATCACTGAAAGACAGAAATAACACAGTGACAGCTGAAAAACAAGGAACTTGCTGTTCTACTCTACGCCCAGGGTAAATGCAGTGCAAAGAGCACAGACAGGAGTTTGCTGTAAATTACCTCTGGGTGCCTAAGTGCACTTTGGGAGTAAATTAGAGCCACACCTTCCAAGTTCTATCTTTTCAACTGGTTTTGAACAGCACACTGCCYACCTTTAAAATAGGTATATTTTCCATTAAGGAAAAAAGGCAAAAAATTAAGATTTGTGGTGCTATGGTAGAATCTCTGCTCAAACAACTCAGTCCCATTTCAGCATAGCTAAAACCCCTAGGTTCAGCATTCCCAAATCCTTTCTTTTAATGAACACTACAGTGCTGTTCCTTGGCTCAGAACAGGCAGCAACTTTCCATTTGAGAATTCAAACTTCTGCTAAAGAGGCCTGTCAATTCTGATCTCAATTGTATCATTTATTACTTCTTCCAGCAATTCCACAGTCCTGTCAACAGCAAGATTGCCAGGAGAGACACACAGGCAGATGGAAACCTCTGAAGCAGAAAGGCACCACCAAGGAGATGGAAGCAGGAGGCTGAGAAGCAGAGTTATGGAGCAGTGACAGCTGGTGAGACACTGAGCAATATGTAAGTGGTTTGCTTTATTAAAGTCCACTCCAGATAGAGCATAAGCCAACAAAACAGATGCAAAGAATTAAACAAATTTAATCTTATTAATGGTGTAGGCTGGGTGTACAGTAATGGAAAAATACTGTGAATTCCCTATTGAAAAGTCTGCCAGTACGAGGTCTTCACTCACCTCTCCTCATGTTAGCAGTGACCAATAACAGAGTTAATGCAAAAGGAGCTCGACCAGAAATTTATCAACATCATACAACAGTTTAAAGAAAGAAATTTAAACTGAAATGTCATTTATGAGATACTGCAAAAAGCTCCTCAGTGGTTTCACACAGGACAATTTTTGGTGTATGGTCAAAAGCAGCTGCAAAATGAAGTCCCACATGACCAGTTTTATGGCATGACATTCATTTAGAGCTAGCTTTCAGCTCGGGAGCCCAGTTTAATTTKAGATAGATTGAAAGGAAATTAATCTTTCAAAGGCAACTACTAGAATAAATGCCATAACATAATCAGTTATATGATGCTTGCAAGGATCTGCATTTGCCGAATGACATTCATCTGAATTAGGAAGAGGGAATATCRGTTTTGTTCTGCTATCTTCCTCTCCACCTCCTCATTCCCTCCCTCACTTCAGCATAAAGAACAAAATCTTTCCTCCCAACCCTCTCAGCAGATTATTAAYCTTTCTCTAAAGCCCTGGTGGACAAAAAAAAAGGCTTTTATTCAGACATAAAAAGATCAAAATGAGAATCAGCAAGTGTCCAAACCCCAAGTAAACCCTTTAAAGCCAAAACAGRTTCTAATCTCAGTTTGCTTCTAGCCAAGCATGTCTAACACTGAGGAATTTTTAAAAATATGTAAATTTACTCCATTTTATACAAAACATTCTATATATAACTCTATTTTGAGTTTTGTTTGTGCCTGTAAATTACAGACACTGGCACAAAAATCAATCATAAGCAGCTTGAGCTGACACAGTTACGATCAAATCACACTTATTTCATGTTTGTAATTAGCTTAAACTAGAGCAACACCTGCACATAGAAATGTTTCACTATGGTGTGGGAAGTGGGGAATCATTTACACTATGATACTCTACTGCAAGTTGTGATACTTTATGTGTTTTGTGCTCTTTATGAACCAGACAGTGAGCATTCAGGGCCTGCAGTTGTTAACAAACACTTTTCAGAAGTCCCATAAAACTAAACTCTTCATTCTCTGAAGGATCAGAACAAAATCACCTCAAAAAGAGACCCTTGAGAGGCTGGGAGAAAGGGAATGACAAAAAAAATACAAATCCAAGAGATTAAGTTTAAATTTTTGAGTTACCACATTTAAAAACCACACACCAAAATCTCCACTCCAGGGTGAAACCTGTTTCCACACTTGTAGAGCTAAATATAGAGATGAGATATATAACTAAGATAAAAAGAAAAACCAAACTTCCACAAGGTATAATCTCCATGCAATGAACCACAGCACCACAGCCTGTACAAGTCACTTACTTTTCTCCGAGAGTCACCCGGAGGCTGCTCTGGAGTAAAGAAATTAATTGTTCACCATGTTGTGTTCAAAAGATACCCATTAAAATACAGATGGAAAACTCAGTAAATAACCCTAGTTGATACTTTTTGATACCAAATATACATGATTTTCTGTTTTGTACAAGGACATTTACACACAAAACTTCAGCACTAATCATACTGCAGTGCTATATGGGATCAAAGAGATTCAAACAGTGCTACTGCTCATGTATTTGATCTAAATGTAAGGTGACAACTTTCTTCTTACTATAACTCCAAATATTAACTTTCTGTCATGACCCTGCTTATTGCAGGGGGCTTGGACTTGATCTTTAAAGGTCCCTTCCAACTCAAACAATTCTATGATTATAAATACATTCAAAGATGACTCTCAAATACAGAAGAAATTATCTAATCTTACTTAAAGTAATAAACACTCTTTTACGCCACCTGGAAGCTCAAAATCTACACATATTTCCTATGCTCTGTTTGTTTTCCAGTCACTGATCAGGAATTCTGCATCCTAGGGGTAACTTTGTTATGCAGAAGCAGAGCCCAAATCCATCAGCTCCTGTTCCTGRGGAGCCATCAGCAATTTCAAAATCTATTCTTACTCAGAAAATTATAATTAACCTTTCCAAAGCTCAAATCCGTCTTTTGCATAGGAAAAAAAAACTGGTTATGCTAAGAAATACAGAACTAAAATACTATTGTTATCAATATGGAAATTATTTCCAAATAACTTGCTAGATCTTGGACACTTCCACATTAAATTCCTGGGCTAAGCCAGCTTGAATACCCAGATTTACAATAAGATTTAATCATCTCTTTTAGTATTAAGATACATCTTTACTACAAATTACCAAGATTTACAGCCAAAATAAAACATTTCTAGCAATGTCATTTAACAAGAGGAAAACTTACCTCCAAACAGCTCGAATTCTCTTAACCCCTCAACGATRAACTTCTCAGACACCCAACGCTGTAAGAAATAAAAATTCTCCRCATAATCAGTTATTCCATCTAGAGAAAAGTTTATTTTCCCCATTCCATTTCCACAAGAAAAAGAACCCAAACCTTTAATGATTCTACWGTGGTCTGAAAATTATTTGCTGCATCATCAGTGACATATTCACTTTGGACAAGGATATTCCCTTTTTGTGACAATGACATGCACCCAGCAACCACACAGGTACTGCTGTTATTCCCAATCAACATGCACTTGCCATGAAGTTAATATCATTTAAAATCATTCAAACAAGTTTTTATACATGCACATACAGCAAAAATAATCAGCATGTTACAACCCCCCTCATACAGACAAAAGAAGTTGGTTTTTAGGTGTATTAAGATAAAAACCAGCTTTCACTGTTTACAAAGAGGTGGTAYCTTGGAGAATTCAAATATTTTGGYTATATATCTAGTCATYGAATGCAMAATTARAACAYAAATACTCTAAAGCTGTCATTCTCTTCCAGAATTCATGTTTGAAATTCACAGCAAGCATTAGGTTGTGCAGAGGAKTGTTTCTASCACTAATACTGCTATTCAAAYATATAYRTATATATACACATAKYAYATAATAGAATAGGCAATTTYAAGCTTGCAGAGTGTTGATCATGAAGTTAAATAATCAATCACATACACTCCCATGGAAGAATTTTCTATTTAGCAAAATAATTTCATTAACAGCTAATGTTGTTTAGTGCAGGAGCAGCCGGTCCTAGAAAGCACCAATGAGCCTTTAGGTAATGATGACTCAAAATTTTATGTAAAAATACCATTTGAAAACATTAAAAGTTGTTCTGTTGCAGGAAATTTCCTCATTTAAAAAAGCCGAATCAAACAAAGCTGTTGTGTTTAGCTTTTCAAGCAACGCGCAGGAAAAAAAAATCCATAAATTGTGACACAGCTGAGGAGGCTACTTCCTAAAGAAAGGCTTTAAATAACCAGCTTTATGGCCCTTTTTCTTCACTGCAAAGCCCATTACAGCCCCTCTGCTCTGCACCCCAAGGACACACACATGTATRTGCAAGAAATAAAGGTTTTGGTGCAGGGTTTTTAACCAGCGCCGGCGGCACACCGACCCACGTCCTATAATCAACCCTATAATCAATTCTCCGTGCCCTTACGGTGCTCTCCAGGCTCAGCCACTCTGCACAAGCGCAAGGCTCGTTCTACCGAGACACGAGGGAAGCTGGAAGGTCTTCAACACTCACCCTAATGCGCTCGGGTTTACTTACAAGGAAAGACATGGATCCGCCGCTGTGGAACACACGCAGCAGAAAGGGCGGGACACCTGCGGGCACAGGGACGYGTCACCCCCTCACCCCCCGACACCCCCGGGTTCCTCACCTAACCCCGGCTTCAGGGGAGCGGTAACCCCGCTCAGCACCATCTGATGATCCCAAAAAGTACCGGCAACCCCCGAACTCCCCCCGAGCCCGGCAGTCCCAGGAGGGCCCCGGAGAGCGGTAATTTCGGCAAGCACTGGCCGGAGCCCCCCAAAACTGCGATACCTC